AACATATTGATATGAAGTAAAATTTATAATTATATATTTTTAAAAAAATATTTTACCTTTTAAACAGTAAAATAACAAATTCATATATATTTAAAATCGCCTACTAAGGCCTATGATATGTTAGCTTGGCAAGGGATATTACCTCTCACCCTATACACACCAAAAATAAAAATAAATAAATAAATAAATCCATTTTTAGTGTTCCCCATAATCGTAAATCAGGTCGAGACATGTGCACTTGACCGCAACCTGACAAATTAAAGCATGCCACAATGGGAAGTCCACAAGATGAGGATCAGGTTATTGGGGGGATTTCGAGATTCTGGCTCTGGGTCAACCGAGAAATGCTTTTGTTGTTTGGGTAAAACAGCATTTTTCAACCCCATCACGGTTAGTTTTCGCCAGTCGATGAGGTTTTTTACCCCAAATCAAGCGCGATTACACATCAGAAAGGGTTCCGTATAGTGCATTTTAACCCCTCTGGGACCCTTCAATTTGATGGAGCAATAGATCGAGCAAGTGGATTGATTCTTACCATTTGTACGATCACATCCCCTGGTTGGCCGTGCAGGAAGCAGGATTGCATCTATTTTCCCTTTTTATTTCTCATCGTTGACGTAAGAGTTTTTTTCACTAATTTCTTTTATGGGCATTTCTAATTTACATGATATATTAATTGCATTTTTTATCAATAATGATTAGAATCTTTTAATTTATAAGATTTTATTAAATTAGTAAATTTTATGTATGAGTATCCCTATTATATATATACACATAATTATATAAAAAAAATTAACATATATAATTTATATTAACATAATTTTTAATTTAATAATTTATATTAATTAAAATATAATATTTTTTAAGATGTATTCCAAAACGACATCCTGCAAAACGCCAGTTTATCTAGTAAAGTTATATAATCATGATTATTATTACAAGTATTATGACGAGTGATTCATGTCTAAGAAATATGGTGCTGTATGAATCCACCTCCCATTTCCAAGACAAATGCAATTCAAAATTGTCATCTCGAGTCAAAGTCTCGCAATTCCCGTAGTCCATACGCTCACCTCTGAGTCCTCTCCACGCCAAATATAAAGTAAAAAGTTTTTCAAAAAATAGTAGGGGAAAAAACCACTATATATAGCCCCACGCCAAAGCATATTTCCCACACCATCATACACTTTTCTTATTCTTAATTCCAACCTTTTTCTACAAAAATGAAATCTCTGAATATGAGAAAGGGTGCCCTCTTCCTTCTCCTAACTGCAATTGTCGCTGGAACCATGCCGGGCAATATACTGGCTCAAAAGTGTGGCTGTGCAGCTAACGAGTGCTACTTTCTCTTGGAGTCACAGAGAGTTCTGACCGTCCTGTCTTTTCTGATTTTGGAACTGAGGATAAATCTGTCTCCAAGGTTAGTAGAATTAAAATTTTCAATAGCATGAAGCCTGATGAAATGCAGGTTGAGTCTAATAAGAGCTCTATTATTA